TGTTTACATAATTTAAAGTCCGGGTTATAAGCCCAAGAGACCGAAATACGAACCGATCGCTATGCCTTGACCCGCACACAGAAAGTGCAAGTGTCAGCATAACTGTATCACGAGCGGACTTCATGTATGTGCATATACCTCCGCGCTCCAGCCTAAGTGAGCATAGCTTTATATTTAAGAATACATAACCGTCTCTCCGCTGCCTCTCTTTGCAGCGCAGCTACGAGACTCAGAGCTCTTTAGCTTCTAAGTATATTTGTAAGACACAGAAAACTCCTGAGAGCTGGAAGCGGAAAATACATCCGCTCCAGTTAAATAAACTGATAATCATTTTAAAACTTTTAACAATGGTTTTTTGAAATTAAATGGAATTGCTAAATTGAGAAAACCAGGAAAAAAATAATACAATAGTAGATTCAGGACCTGATTTAATTAATTAAACTAGCTTCTTAAAAAACGAACAAGGTCTAGCCAAAAATTCTAGCACGAACTCGAAATAGGGGAAAAAATTTGTAGTTGCAAGGATAAGAAAGCATATCCTGGAAGTTATGGGTTTCTCAACAGTTAAACTCACAATTGATACGTCGAGAACTTGATTCAGAAGAAGCAGGAGGAATAGGAAAAACTGTAGAGCTATTTCGTGAAAATATTTTCTGTCGAGCCATATTTCCATGTACGGTGTACCAGAAGTTTTTGTAAGTGATAACGGATCACAATTTAAGTGTTCAGAGTTAAATGCAATTCTCATTTCACCAGATATAAGTCATGTTTATACACTTTATACACACCTCAGTCTAACGCTAGTGCGCGTGTCAATCGATCATTGATATCAAGAATTTGGACATACTTAAAGAATGATCGTACTCAATGGGATATGAATCTGACAAGTATAAGTTGTGCACTTCAAAACAGCATTCACTCATCGATTAAAAATCCCCGTATTTTGCTCTGTTTGGTCTAAACATGGTTGCCCATGGATCCACATACCAGTTATTACGCAACCAAAGTGCTTTTTACGACTCAACTTTATGTTTAGATCAAGATGATTATCTTACATTAATGCGCGAAAATTAAAGTCCAGAAAAAACAAGGCACATGAAGCTAATACCAGGCAATAAGCTTAAGAGCAATACCTGTTGACTTTAAAGTTGCACAGAAAGTCTTTTGGCGAAACTTTGGTCTTTCTTTGATCTTTATCAAATCTCGAATTAGAAAGAAGGTTGTATCGAGCATGTACATATATTCTTGAAGATTGGCAAAGCCAATTAGTAGGCTCCTATTCGGGTTAAGATATCGAGTCTAAAATTCCCTTTTCGGTCTAACTTTCTTATTTGGTAGCAAGGTTTATGGTTATGTAATGAAGCAGTAATCGGTCTATGAAAGTTAGCCGTATTGGAATGCACTTCCAGTTTTGAAATGCTAATCTATGACTTGCGTACGAGACTTTCCAACTTGCTAAAAAGCTAGAACCACGCGACTTCAGAAATATTTTGTATTTTTCCAACGAGCGGCAAACAGAACAGACGTTCTAAAATTTTCTCCGACAAAAACCCAAAGTTTGGATACGACCGCCTACGTTAAAAATGCTGTTAAGTTGTGTACTCCTGTATTGGGCTCAACATGAAGTCATTGTAGGAGAGGTTCCTGGTCGGTTGCAAACGCGGACAATAGATTTCAAGACAATTGTAATTATTCAAAACTTCAGGTTGTACAAAGTAATATGTAAAATTTTGTTATACCGGAGCCGTGCGTTCTCAGTCGTTCGCATTTGCAGACTGTTTTCTCTCGCTCAGTTGCTCTTTTCGCTATCCCTCTATAGTCTGTCCCTGGATGTAGCTCAATAACACGCCCGAGTAGCCATTGCGACGGCGGAAGACGGTCATTATTGATATGTGCGAGATCGTTAAGCTGGAAGCTTTCTGACCCTTGGCGCAACTTTGGTCTTTGCTGTATATGAGCCAGCCAATCACGACTCCAAGCTTTCCAATAATGGCGTATCATTTTCTGTTGGGTTAAAAACCGTTCCAACAATGAGTAACCTATCAAGAAGTGTGCAGGGCCTAGCACTTCCAGATCATCTGCAAAAGCTGTGAGAAGTAACCGAGCAAATGTGAAGTAACCGAGTTAAGGAAATATGCTGAGGTTACATCTAACGAGAAACGGGATTATGATTTATAATTTCGAAACTAATTGTATATTTGCAACGGTGAACAGCTCTTTGACCCACCTCAAAAATAGATACTTGCATGCCTTTCCGATTTGAATGAATGGACTGTACGACGTGCTCAGATACAAGGGTTGCCTCAGATCCTTGATCGACGAGCGCGTTTATGACTGCCTGCAGACCATTAATCGGTTTTCCTACTGTGACGTGGGCAGTAGCCAAAAGCATCCTTGCGTGGCTGAGTGGCACCTATACGTTGCGCTTGAACCTTGCTGATGCGCAGATTAAATGTTCTGCGGCGATGCTGCCTCCATGGCAGGTGGCGCGCTGACAGGCGGTGTTGAAGGCCGGGCAGAATGCGCTTCCGTTTGGTTAGCCGGATGCCTGAACCGGAAAGTTCAGTAATGTGTGGTGACGTTGACCACAGACTTGGCAGCTTCTGCTCCTGGTGCAGCGAGAAAGGATGTGCGACTTACTTAGGCAATTGAATTTAATTTCGCCTTGCTCTCTATATCCTTTCGCTTGTAGCAGTCTAACGCCAGAAAGGCTGGACAACGACGCAAAATGTGGTCGCCGCCGCAGTGATAACATGAGCAGTTTGCACGCCCTCTTTGTTCTTACGTATGATTCAGTCGATTACGCCTGGAATGATCTGTCGAACTTGGGGAAGTATTGGAGTCGAAAAACAAGTTTCGATTTTCGAACCCATTCATTATGACTAGCCGATCGTTCAGAAATTACTCTTTGTAAGATGAAACCGTTGAATTGCTACCTTGATGATGTTCTCAAGCGTTGTGTGTCTCCTTGGAAAGTTTCGATGCTACGTAAGGTGCCAACCAGTGCTGACATTCCCCATCCATGCAAACATTCACCGAGCTTAACATCGAACGTATGGATTCAGTATTATCCTTTTGTTGCCTGGGCAGTGAATAGATTGTGTTCATATGGTGAGAGAAAACTAGTCGAGTATTGTTGTACCTATTAATCATTGTGCTCCAAGCCACTGCATAGTTCCCATCTGTAAGCTGCATTTCACGGATGACATTATCACGGCCTATCGGGAGCGACTCTTTAGGAAAATTCAATTTTTGGATGTCGCTTAGGTAGGAGTTTTTGTGTATAAGGCTCGTAAAGGCATCATTGCAACGCATGAGTCCCTCGAAAAGCCGTTCTCAACTAGTTCCAGTCTCTTTTAAGATAAATTCGCGTTTTCCTCGCTTGCGGATCTTTCATAAAATTTTAAAAACGGATTTAAGAGCTTGGTGACGATCTGTTTGCAAACTTACTAATTTGTCAAGAGTGGGAAGCTCAGAATCGGAAGCCATGTTAGCTAGTGTAAAGTCAAATTTTTCGCAATGCACACCCCAACTACTTACCTTTAAAAAAGCTTGCCTCTCACACGACTTGCTCACTCAAAAATCCTATATACGAACCTGATCACAAAGGTAGATGCGCTTATGTATCGGGTTCCTTGCGCTGCCTCGTTGAGCTTGCCGAACTACCGCAACCGCTGTCTAACGGATTTTATTTACACTCTACATGTCGCTGAAATCTCAATGTAAACTTCACAGGTTCCCCTCATGGGCTCAACAGGAGGTCATTGTAACAGGGGTTCCTGGTCGATTGCAAACGCAGACAATAGATTTCAAGAAAAATGTAATTATTCAAAACTTCAGTACAGCGTTGACAGTTGTCGGGATTGCAGACTTTTCTGTCTCACTCTGTTTTCGCTATCCCTTTGCAGTTTACGGTGGTATGGTGGTTTAACACAGTAAATTGAAGCAATTTTATTACCCTATATAATAGCGGATCAACCAGTCCAACCATTATTTTTGGAAAACACGAAGATATTCAAGGAATACGCATTGGCTGATCCAAACATTGACCAACCTAGAAAATATACAAACGCGTCCCACCCAAGGGTCCGATCCTGCAAAACACAAAGTTTTGCTAGATCGTAGCAGAAATAGTAAATTCTACCGTCAATTCTTCTACTGTATGCGCAATAAATTCATAAAAGAGACAAATAATTTAATAAAAAAAACCATTTTCTGAACACGTCTCTGACAGACGAGAGATATTGCAACCAAAGGGTTTTTCGCACTTGAACGGAGGACTACATCAGAGGTTTGGAAAGGCTACGTCGAGTTCATGGCAGAGTATGAAAAATTAGGTCACATGAAGAGTGTCCAATACATTTCCCCAAGGAGCATTATTCATTCCACATAACTTCGTTTTAAAACTCGACAGCACCACTACTAAATTCGACGCATCATGCAAGACATCAAGCGACAAGTCTTTAAGCGACAAATTGCGTGCTGGTCCAACTGTCTAGAGCGTCCTAATCAAGAAATTAATACGATTCAGAACTCACAAGTACGTTTTTATGGCAAAAACAAGTACCGTGTGCATAAGTCCGAACGACCAGTTCCATCAGCTAATAGACTGGAAAAGGGACCAATCGAAAGAGATTAAATTTTATCGCCTTAAGACGGTAACGTATTGAACTACATGTGGCCCCGGGAGTTCCGTTAGTGCGAATTACTTCCAGGACGACGTAGTTTTATTATTTTAATGCTTTATTTATTATTATATATTTGAGTTAATTACAAACTGAGTGTTGTGTGGTGTTTTAAACTTTAACGAGTTTACAAAGTGGAGTGTGTCTCTGTGGACTGCTTAGCGTGAGATTTCGGCATCAACTGACTTTATTAGAGTTTTTCTCTCTTGATCTGTTAAACGCACGCATACATTAGCGATCTCTCTCTGTGTTGTCAGAACTGACGTCCACTCCGTGTGTTTCTCTGTTCTTGCTCTTCTGGTTTATTCCTAATTCCTACATTCGGCCCTCCTGACGTGGTGTTCGTCCCGAACTCCTTCATAAACTCAGATACTGTGGAAGTTTTCAAAGGTCCTTCGCTATCTCCCACTTTCTCCACATCATACCTGCCATGCTTGTGAACTTTGACGACCTTATAGGGACCAAGACACTTTCCTTTCAACTTTAAACCCACCCCATACTGAGTACGTTTAATCGCAACTAAGTCATTGACTTTGTATTGCTTTTCCTCTTTCCTTTTTGAATCAAAAGCTCTTCTGTTCTCCTCCTGTAAAGCTTGAATGTTGTCCCTGGCTTGTTTGCGTATCTGTTCACGCTCTTCGTCCAACTCTTCTATCAAAGACTGCTGCACCTGTTCTTTGAGTTCTGCAATGTCAACTACACGCATGTCCACACCTGTTAGCAACTTGAACGGGGTTACCTTTGTGCTCCTAGGCTCGATATTGTTTTTTAGCTGCTGTACTCTACCCACATGTTTGTACCAATTTCCTAGATTTTCTAGGCTCATCTTTGACAACATTGGCACCACGATCTTATGCATTCTCTCAACCTGCCCGTTACCTCGAGGTACACCTGTAGCGATCAATAAATGCTGGATCTTCTCTTTCTCGCAGTATTCCTTGAATAAGTGCGATGTGAAAGCTGCACCACGATCTGACACGATCCTGAAGGGATTTCCAAATATTATGGCCTGCCTGTCTAAACAGTTTAGCACCTCCTCAACTCCAGTACTACGCGTCGGATACAACCAAACGTATTTCGAAAATGCATCGACAACTACTATGATATGATTATATCTTTTCTTGGTGATCTCCATCGGCCCTACGTGATCTATGTGATAAGTGACTAAAGGTTTGTCCCCCTTATCGATAGGATTTAGATATCCTTCCTGTTTTCCGGATTTTGCGTTAACCAAGATGCACTCCACACAGCTGCCTACAACTTTAGCTACTTTATCCCTCAACTTTGGAATGAAATAGGATTTCTCCACCAGCTCCTGTGTTTTCTTTGCCGAAAAATGACCTTGCTTATGAGCAATCTGTATAATCTCAGTCTCCATTTTAGATGGAATTACAATCAACTCTCTGTCTGGGTTTTTAAACAATATTTGATTGACGATGTAATAATCCTCATGCCCCTTTGTTTCAACTAGATTCCTGATTACCTTTGTCCACTCGTCTGCCACCTGAGCTTCCTTCAACTTGTGCATTACACTGTCAGTCAACACAAAATAAGCTACTCGACTCAGTGCGTCTACATGCCTCATCTTTGTACCTGATCGATGTCCTATCTCTTAATCGTAGTCTTGCAGATACATTGCCCACCTAGCCACTCGCAACGGAACTTCTTTCTTTTTCATCGTCATGGCGAACGCATTACAATCCGTGATGATTTTGAACTTCGTTCCCAAAACATAAATTCGCCATTTTGTCAAAGCTCCTATGACTGCTAGGACCTCCAACTCGTATGAGTGATATTTTTCTTCACAAGGCTTAGTTTTTCTACTCATGTACATGACAGGGTGTAAATGTCCATCCTCTGGATCCTTTTGTAGAAGAACTGCCCCAAAACCAAACTTCGACGCATCCGTGTGTATTTCTGTAGCCAATCTAGGATTGTACAGTTTTAAAACTGGTTTGCTAGTCAACGCTGTCTTTAATTGCTCGAATGCTACCTGCTGTAACTCCTTGAACTCAAACTTTACATCCTTTCTCAGCAAATCTGACAATGGCTTAGCTATTACTGCGTATCCATCCACAAACTTCCTAAAATATGATGTCAAACCAAGAAATCGTTATATGGCTTTTTGATTAGACGGCACTGGAAAGTTTGCTACGGCCTGTGTTTTCTCATCGCTGGGTGTGATCGAACCATTTTCGATGATATATCCTAGAAAATCTACCCTGCTCTGCAAAATTTGACACTTGGTCCAATTGATTTTCAGCCCGTTCTGTTCTGCGACCTCAAGAACTCTTTGCAGCTTTTGTATTCCCTCTACGACATCACTGCTTGGGATGATAATGTCATTCATGTAAACCACTGCGTCACCGTTTTTGATGAGCTCCCTGAGAACTGCCATTATAAAACGCGTAAAAACTGCCGGCGAGTTTGAAATGCCAAACGGCACATACAAGAACTCGTACTGTCCGTTCTGTGTAACAAATGATGTATACTTTTGGGAGCCTACTTCTACCGGAACATGAAAATAACCGTTGGTCAAATCCAGTGTCGTAAAAATTGTCGCTCCCTGTAACTTCTCAATCACGTTGTCCATCTGTATCATAGGAAAATTGTCCCTCACTATTTTCTCATTCAATTTGCGATAGTCACAACACAATCGCTTCTGGCCATACTTTTTTGCCACGAGTACGATCGGAGAAGCGTACTCTGAAGTACTGGGCTTGATTATCCTTTGTTCAAGCCACTCCTGAACCTGCTCGTCAACTACCTTTTGTTCACTAAAAGCGATACGTCGAGGATGCTGAAAAACTGGCAAATCATCGCTTAATAAAATCTTCATCTCGACTGGACAATGAACATTCCTAATTGGTTTGTATTCGTCTATCATGCGTTTCACAACACCTCTCTGCGAGTGCGGCAAATGTAAAATGTCTACCTCTAGCTTGCTTTCTGCCTGCTCCATGGTCATCATACACAAACTCTGAAATTCATTCAGCAGCTCTGAGCATGAACTTCCGTTTTTCTCTTTCTCACGAACTTCAAACTTTTGTCCTTTACCGACCCGACTGTCTGATCTTCGAACCAACTCGGTTCCGTCCTTTGTCACTTTCATATCGACACTATCTAGAAGAGTTCTACCTAAAATTGCATCAAATGCCATGTCTTCGTCCGATATAATGTAGAACTCAACGTTGAGATTGATGCCATCAATCTGCACTGGTATTATCAGGCTTCCAAAAGTCACAATTTGGCTTTCCCCAATTCCTGTCAAACATTTTTCACCTCCTGTTAGGTTTTCTACTCCGAGCCTTATAAAAACGTTGCGTCGCAATAAACACAAGTCTGCTCCTGTATCTACTAATCCTTTGAAGGTTACTTTCCCAAACGAAACATGCTTCAACTCCAATCCCGAAGACGTGAACGTGCTTGTTGGCTTCACCCTGCCTTCCATCTGCACTAGATTAGTTGCCTTTTCCTGTTTAGTTTCTAGCTCAACCTTGCACTGGGCTGCTCTATGTCCTGGCTGGTTGCACCTAAAGCACTTGTTGTCTCTCTTTGGACAATCCTTCTTGATGTGAGACTCATCACCACAGTTAAAACATTTCCTAACCTTCTCAACTGCTTTCACTGTCTCCTTTTCACCTTTATAAAAGTGAGAGTCATACTAGACGTGCTTCACCGATCCTCGCATTTTCTGATATGCCTCGATTTGAACTTTCAGCTCCTTTAGCTTCTTGGCTTGATAAAGTAAAGCCTTGTTTCCTTTCGAGTCTGGCATACCGTCGACAAAGTATTCGATCAAGCTTTCATCGTCTAAATCAATTGGCTTCGCCAATTCCATTAACGCGTACAGGTACTCTTGTAACGTTTCGGTTTTCTTTTGTTGTCGCTTGCCAAGTCTACGATGAACCTCTGCCGATGTAACTTTAACCCCAAATTCTTCTAGCAATGCAGCTTTCAGTGAGCCCCAATCGCCAATTTTACGCTGACTACGAACGTAAAGCTTAGCCGCTCCGCTGAGTAATTGTTTTGCATATATAAACACCTGCAACTGACTCATTCAACCGTAAGTGCACACTCTTCAAGTTCCTCGATCCACTGATTAATGTCAGGTGAATCAGTTCCCGAAAACTGTGACACACTCCCCTCTACATCCTTTAATGTAAACCACGATCTACCTGTGTTCGCATTTCCAATTCAACTGTTCTGTTCGCTTACAATTCGATTTTCCCTGGGCGCACCATTTCCTGCACCTGCACCTGCCTGGTAATTGTCTGAATTCACTGATGTAAAAGATCCATCCTCATCATCATCCACTTCAATCGCAACTTCATCGTTTTCATCAGTTTGCAAACCATAGTGAGCAAGTAGTTTGTTTTGCAATTCGCCTTTTCTTCCGGTTGTACTAAGATCTAGCTCTGACAACTTAGCGCGCAATTCTGCCACAAGCAGTGCCAAAATCTCTTGCTTGTTCATTTTTACTTAAATATAATTATAGAATATAAGGATATAAAATATAGTGCTTATAAAATACAAAAATGTTTATCAAATCCGCCTGCACGGCAAAGTTAAGTTTTTATATATATACTGGACTTTCAAACTGTAAACTGTACTTTACTTTACTCTAAGTTAATGTGAAATGAATGTCAAACTTAACACTATGTTAACTTAAGCTGTTGACACAACAGTCCGACTGCAGGCACACAATCTGTTAAATTTCAAATTATTTCCTACTCTCCAATTAGACCAACAAGAGGTCTTTAAAACAAAATTGGTCAGTGCTGCTCTCCACTTCTCTTTTCTGGCACAGCGCCTTCTGCCAGCCAAGTTGCAAAAAAACTTGTCTCGCCTCTCGATGATATCTCTGTCACTCACCAAATTTCTTCAACCGTTTTCTTTCACCAGCCCAACAATACAGCTTTGGATTTGTACAGTTGCCTCACCAGAAATGTCTTCTCGCCGTGTCACCAATACAGCTTTGGATTCTTCTCGCCGTGTCACCAATATTCTCTTCCAGAATGTTCTTCCTTCTTTCGCTTTGACCAGCCTCCTGACGCCCGTGTCTTCGCCTTCTCCTGACGCACAACTTCTGCGATCCGCTTGCTACTGTTTCTGCTCCACGCCTTCCACTTTGTCCAGATGACCACCGCCAACGATCCTGCCTCTTGCTTGTTGACGTTCACCACAAAGTCTTTTCGCTGCCTCCAGAATGGTACTCGCTGTTCAATCGCCTTCTTTGTCAGTTTCTTGCCTCTTTCATTCGTTGCGCCAAAAACGAATTTCACAACTGCTCGAATGATGCGCAAACTTGCTGTCTCGTTTTCACTCACGCTGCCCTGCTTTGCAAATTTGTCTTTTTTTTTTTTTTTTTTTTTTTTTTGCAGCACACTTGCTTTAGTTTATAACTGTCTGCAACGACAATTCACAGAGTTTTTTCCACTTTTTTTACCACACGACTAAGTTTAGAGACTTAGGTTTTTAACATTCAACTAAGTTTAGTGACTTAGGTTTGTAATATTCAACTAAGTTTAGTGACTTAGGTTTGTAATATTCAACTAAGTTTAGTGACTTAGGTTTGTAATATTCAACTAAGTTTAGTGACTTAGGTTTGTAATAGTTCCAAATATTCCGGCTGAGCCCCCAAATTTGTGGCCCCAGGAGTTCTGTTAGTGCGAATTACTTCCAGGACGACGTAGTTTTATTATTTTAATGCTTTATTTATTATTATATATTTGAGTTAATTACAAACTGAGTGTTG